CTACTAGAAGCTGAGAAACATTAATACAAACATAGGACACGGTGAATTAAAAAAATTATGATACGGGAAAAGCGGAATATATTATATGTATATATAATATATTTTTTATCCAAAAACAACCAAAAATAATGTAAAACTAACACTAATCAACTTGAAAACCCACTCAATTACATCGAAAATGTCAAAATCGTGTAAGTTCAACAATGAATAGCATATCCACCAAAAATATATAGATCCTCATTATTTTCTTCAAGAAATAATAATATGGTGTTAATATTTACTAAAATTAGGTACCAAAAATTCTAAAGCTCATTCTTTCTTGAGACCGGGTTGTTTGGGATGACCTAAATAAGTATATTTTTTTATCTTTTTATGAATAGATGTGCAGAAAAGTAAAGAGGTGATGTGATGAAAAAAAATAAAAAGATAAAAAGATGGATTATTTTGAGAGTTATGAAAGCCCAAGTGATTCTACCCATATGATGTTTGATTTGTTAAGGATGGTGTCTGGAGAACTGTTCTATCTCATTTGTGAACATTGATTTTTGTTGCGTGCACTACAGGAAATATATGATTTTACGGCGTTTTTTTAAACGTCACTATTTATTACATCTAACGACGTTTCATAAACGTCACATTTTATTTTAATGAAGCTGCTACTAAGAAGTTTGAGCAGGCCGCAACCAAGATATCGTACAAGCCAGCCTGCCAAGTTTTCCATCTCAAATCACGCCACTGAAAATCTCCAGATAACATGGCTTCTTGGCGAAAACAGTGCCGAGATATGTCTTCTGTTCCCATACAGCTTATTAATATTTGGTAGAAACCATGTTACTCTTTCTTTTTCTTTTTTGTTGTTTATGTTAGGTAGATAGCTGTTGATTGAATTTTTTTTTTTGGGAAGATTGTGTATTTTGCGAAGATGTAATATTTAATGTTCTGGCCCCCCAATGCCGGAGCGTCTTGTAGCTGCAATGATAGTTCTGTTTAGCATGTTCGGATCGATTCTTCTATTTTGATTAGTATAGAGAACTAATCACTATTCATTCAATGACATTTGTAATGATAGTCTGTTTCCATTGGTATATCTCCCACTTTCTTGTAACCTGATTCAAGCACCGGGATTAGAGCTAGTTCCTGGTGATCTTTTCTTGAAGCCTTTGTTTATTACATGTTGATTTTATGTTTTAAGGAATTTATTTATTTTTGAGATATATATTCTTTTATAGATTTTTACCAGGAACAGTTATTTTGTCACCAAACAGAACTTTTCACACAATTAAGTTTTAGCAACGATTCATAAAGGTCGCCTTAGATTTTTTGTTGATTTTTTTAAAAATGTCATCTTAAAATTGTTGGTTGGAATTTTTATTTTTAATTTTATTTATTTATTTATTTATTTTTATTTTTTTTTTCTCCTCAGTTGGGTGTTAGTGTCAATTGTCACATAGTTTTTCTCATAATCAACTTTTATCATCAAATAAAAAATTCTACAACTTATTCAACAAACTGTATCAAAATTTAAATTCACATATTCACAGCCAAATTTATATACTCAAGGTCTCATTTCAGCATTAAAAATATATTGGACTAAGAAAGTCACTAATGTAACTCAAAAAAACAAAAAAGTTCAAATTTGGGACAACAGAGAATGGAAAATGGGATTCACTTTTCATTAAAAAAAATATTTGAGGAAAATACAAATCAATGAAAATAAATAAAAATAATTATGAAAATATGAAAGTGCAAATGGAATATATGTTCTAGTGTAAGGTTGGTTATAATTTTCACTTGTAGTAAAGCACAGACTCCACCTTATATCTTCTGAAGCATTTTATTTTAATAATTTTTTATAAAAATTTTGTTAACATATACCCTTAAAGCATGTGTTAAGAAATTTATAAAATTTATAATTTTTATATGAAAGTGAGTATAATAAAAAATATATAACATTTTAAATTCATTTTAACATGTATTCTAAGAGTGTACATTAACAAGACTTTTTTGCCATTGTTTTTAATTTTTAAAAATATCTTATTTACAATTCCCAAAACATTTCATGTTCATCCTTCAATTATTGCTAAAAATGTGGTCTATCTGCATTGCTAAAAACCGGCCGCCAATGGCGTGAGATTAATCAAATGTAACCCCCCAAAATTATATATATTATATTCTTTCAATAGACAAAAGATAAAAAAAATTACATTAAATTAGATAATTATAATACACTAACACAAATTTATTTGCTCAATAACCAATTCCAACCACCAACACAAGCCAGAAGGAGGAAAGAATCCATGACGAAAGGAAACAAACTCAACAAGTACAATAATGTTTTGTAATGACCTTTATAATGATCAACTCCTTAACTTCTTAGTTAAAGAGTATACATAAGTAATCAACCTAACAATTCCAGTAGATTAAATGTATAAAACTAGATCCTCTTTAAATCATATTTACATCACTCATGAATCATAGTGACATAGACAAGGTAATATTCAAATCATTGCCAGTCTCTCTCACTAATAGTAGTATTGTTGGCTTTTTGGCTTTCGAATGTTATTATTGTAATTTTAAGCGTGCCAATAAGGATCAATCAGTCCTTACAGAAGATTAATTGCCAACCAATTATCAAACGATTGTGTTTTAATTTTTTCAGCCTTAATGAAGATAACTTTTACTGGTGGCTTTGTTTAGGAGAATTAAGCAAACAAAGATTAAATGAAGAACAATTGTAGCATTTCATTAAGTAAAATGGAAGACTTACAATGATCCAAATCAGCCTCGTAGAGGTTTATAGCAACAAACTACTTGAAACTATTCCTATGAACGAAGTGCAGTGCAAGAATTTGAAGTACAGAAATGTAAAGAACAAGAAATGTAAAAACTAGAAGGAAAATAAAGTAGATAAAAATTGATTTTTTGGATCTGAGTCTGGAGGTTCTTTCTGGGGCCTTCTCTGCTATTTATACTTTTCAATGGCAACCGTTGAAATGAACTTCTAACTGTCGAACCATCATTTCATGATCGCTGATGTTTTCTTATAGTTAGCTCCACTGTGCTAAGTCTACAGTTAGGTTTCTCTCCTGATTTTGAATTTAAATATATGAGTAACCGTTAAAGCCACGTCATTTTGCATCTCTTTGTTGATCCAGTGCTATGCAGATCTACAATAACCAATACTAACTACCACTTGTGTGATTATGATTGAAGATTTCTCATCCTGCCACGTGTTAAACTTTGATTGGCTTATACAAAATATGTAGCTAACAAGTATGCTTTGCTTTTGCGGTATATATCATAACAATCATCACCGTCAATCTCAGCTCATAGAAAATTATAGAACTTAGACATGTGAACACCTTCTTCATTTTGTAGTCATTGGGACACATAAATCACTTTCTAGGTCTTCCTCTAATGGCGTGAGATTAATCAAATGTAACCCCCCAAAATTATATATATTATATTCTTTCAATAGACAAAAGATAAAAAAAATTACATTAAATTAGATAATTATAATACACTAACACAAATTTATTTGCTCAATAACCAATTCCAACCACCAACACAAGCTAGAAAGAGGAAAGAATCCATGACGAAAGGAAACAAACTCAATAAGTACAATAAAGTTTTGTAATGACCTTTATAATGATCAACTCCTTAACTTCTTAGTTAAAGAGTATACATAAGTGATCAACCTAACAATTCCAGTAGATTAAATGTATAAAACTAGATCCTCTTTAAATCATATTTACATCACTCATGAATCATAGTGACATAGATAAGGTAATATTCAAATCATTGCCAGTCTCTCTCACAAATAGTAGTATTGTTGACTTTTTGGCTTTCGAAAGTTATTATTGTAATTTTAAGCGTGCCAGTAAGGATCAATCAGTCCTTACAGAAGATTAATTGCCAACCAATTATCAAACGATTGTGTTTTAATTCTTTCAGCCTTAATGAAGATGATTTTTACTGGTGGCTTTGTTTAGGAGAATTAAGCAAACAAAGATTAAATGAAGAACAATTGTAGCATTTCATTAAGTAAAATGGAAGACTTACAATGATCCAAATCAGCCTCGTAGAAGTTTATAGCAACAAACTACTTGAAACTATTCCTATGAACGAAGTGCAGTGCAAGAATTTGAAGTACAGAAATGTAAAGAACAAGAAATGTAAAAACTAGAAGGAAAATAAAGTAGATAAAAACTGGTTTTTTGGATCTGAGTCTGGGGGTTCTTTCTGGGGCTTCTCTACTATTTATACTTCTCAATGGCAACCATCGAAATGAACTTCTAACTGTCGAACCATCCTTTCATGATCACTGATGTTTTCTTATAGTTAGCTCCACTATGCCAAGTCTACAGTTAGGTTTCTCTCCTGATTTTGAATTTAAATATATGAGTAACGGTTAAAGCCATGTCATTTTGCATCTCTTTGTTGATCCAGTGCTATGCAGATCTACAATAACCAATACTAACTACCACTTGTGTGATTATGATTGAAGATTTGAATTGTCTTTCCGTATTATCCTCATCCTGCCACGTGTTAAACTTTGATTGGCTTATACAAAATATGTAGCTAACAAGTATGCTTTGCTTTTGCGGTATATATCATAACAATCATCACCGTCAATCTCAGCTCATAGAAAATTATAGAACTTAGACATGTGAACACCTTCTTCATTTTGTAGTCATTGGGACACATAAATCACTTTCTAGGTCTTCCTCTAATTGTGAATCAAATAAAAAATTGTTCATTTGATTGCTCATAAAGTTCCATGATTACTCTTAGCCATTTCTAATAAACCACATAATTTATAATAATATTATTATTTTTTTCCCTTTTGTGAACTTGGACAATTGTTATGTCACATTAATAGGTTTCCTCGTAAGCATGGATAAATTTTCCTAGACTATTTTCCATGGTAACTTTTCCAACACTAAGCCTATAAATATACCCTTAAACCAAGCCTCCCAATTGCACAAGAGGAAATCAAAATGGAGTTTTCAAAAATTTCACTAGTAATTGTTTCCTTCATGGCCTTGATCATGACTCATCTCTCTTTAGCCCAAAATTCCCCACAAGACTTCCTTGCACCCCATAATGCAGCTCGTGCAGAAGTTGGGGTCCAACCCGTGATGTGGAATGACATTGTCGCGACATATGCCCTAAACTATGCTAATCAAAGAAGTGTTGATTGCAACATGCAACATTCTCAGGGACCGTATGGTGAGAACTGTTGGAAAATTGGTTAATATAAGGCTTATTTTGGGCCATCTTTGAGCCCAAAATTGAGTGGGCCCCAAATGTCTTTTGGGGTGGGTCCGAAAAGGTGACGTATTCCTTGTCACATGGCAAGTCACATGGTGAAGACGGTTCGTCAAAACCATTTATGAGTGAATGGGAACTTGACGTCATTTTCGGATTCGTGGTATGGACATTTAAAGATTTAAATATGGGTTTCCTAATAATGGGTTATCCCACATTGAAACTTTAAGAGAGCTTGTTTGTGTATATAAGCTCTAGACTACAACACTTGGGTTGGGCCCCAAGAGGTACCCCAAGTTTGTAGAAGGGAGGAGTTATGGACAAAGTGAACCTTAGCCCAAGCTGCCGCCGGCCGTCCGGCCGAGCCGAGCTGTGCCGGGCGCAGGTGTGGGTTGTGGGTCGGGCTGATTCTTGTATTAATTTTTTGGACAAAAATTCATTTGAATTTTTTCAAAAAAAATTATTGCGGGAATTTAATTCAAATTTGAATTCCAATTTTTTGTCCAACATTTGAACCTTCTTCAGTTCGAATTATTCAACAGATTAACTACATAAAACTGCTCATAACTGCCAGCAGTTACTGTTCCGAAATTGCACTGTTTAAACAGGTTCACATAGTTCGGACAGGTCTTTATTTCCAGCAGTTATATGTTGCAGTTTGGAACCGAATTTGCTTGTTTGAGTAGTGCACCTGTTCAGTTTGAATTCATACATTTTTAGGCTTGAATTCATACCTGTTTGGGCCTATAAATACATACCATATTCCAGCACTTTACCAATCTGAAAATCAGTCAGAAAAACATTGTTCTTGCTATCTAGATTTTAGTTGTTTACATTATTCTTCATATTAGTCATTTAGAGAAATATTCAGAGAGTTATAGAACACAAGGTTCTAGTTCGCCAGATAAATTTATTTGGAGTGCTACTACAAATTTGTGAAGATTATTGTATCCTGGGAGATAGACGCCACTCAACCGTAAGCACCGTAACGGGGCGAATCTGTCTTAAGGACAGAGTGTCACACACTCGACTTGGTCTTTATTTTTTTTTTTAATTTGGTTTGATAAATAAACTCGGTACGTTATTTAGTTATTTGTTTGTTTTTGTTTCAATTTATTTTATTTACACAGAAGATTGTTCCAACAATCTTAAGACAGATCCGAATTATTCTGTTTACAGAATTTTTGGTTTGTTTCCCTTTCTCTTTCTTCTTTTACAAAAAATTATTTTCTGTGAATTAAATAATATTCTGGTTGGAAAAACAAATAGTGATTATATGCTATTTGACAGATAGTAGTAATATACTGTCTATTTTCTTTGACAACTAGTAGTAATATACTGGTGTCATTAACAATTCAGAATATTTATTTGTGAAATTTTGTCAGAAATTAATTTTGGTTTTTAGAAATTATTTTCTGAGTGTTCATTAATTAAAATTCTGTTTTAGTTTTTTAAGTATTGAAGTGTTACAGAAATTTAATTTTCTGTGTGGAATTAATTTGGTTAAATAAAATTTTATTTTATTTCCAAATTAATTGAAAAATAAAAGTTACATTCTTGTTTCTTTTATTTTTACAGAATTTAATTCTGTGAATTTGGATTAATTTTCTGTGTAGTATAAATTCTAATTATAATTTTATTTTATAATTTAGAATTCATGGCTACTGAATCAAATGCTCAAACAAGTACTAGTGTGGTGGCTGCAATTGCGCCAACCCCCTCTCCTGTTGTGACAGTACCGGTAAATCACGGTGAGAAGCCAGAAAAGTTCTCAGGAACTGATTTTAAAAGATGGCAACAAAAAATGTTGTTCTATCTTACAACTCTTAACTTGGCTCGTTTCCTCTGTGAGGATGCTCCTATTTTGAAAGAGGATGAAACCGACCGGCAAGTGGTTGCTGCGGTCGATGCTTGGAAACATGCTGATTTCCTTTGTCGAAACTACATCTTGAACGGACTTGACAACACATTATACAACGTCTACAGTCCTATCAAGACAGCAAAGGAACTTTGGGAGTCTTTGGAGAAAAAGTACAAAACGGAAGATGCCGGCTCAAAAAAATTTGTGGTTGGCAAATTCTTAGATTTTGTGATGGTTGATTCTAAGACTGTGATCAGCCAAGTTCAAGATCTCCAACTCATTCTGCATGACATTCATGCAGAAGGCATGTCTCTCAGTGAATCCTTCCAAGTTGCAACTTTAATTGAAAAATTACCACAAGGCTGGAAGGATTTCAAGAACTACCTCAAACACAAGCGCAAAGAAATGTCTTTGGAAGAATTAATTGTGCGTTTGAGGATTGAGGAGGACAACTGCAATTCTGAAAAGCGGGCTGGTAAGCATCCTACGGAGTCTAAGGCAAATGTGGTGGAACATGCTTCTAAAACCAAGAAACGAAAGTCTTTTGGAGAAAGTTCATCACAAGGCTTTAAAGGAGGGGAAAATAAAAAGTACAAGTTTAATGACAAATGTTACATCTGTGACAAAGAGGGACATCGGGCCAAAGATTACTGTAGCAAAGGAAAAAACAAAAGAAGAACAAGTAAGAAGCCTGTTCAAGCCCATATGACCGAAGTGGACAATATTTCCAATGGTGTAGATGACATCAATCTTTCTGCAGTTGTTTCTGAGGCAAATCTTGTCGAAAATCCTAAAGAATGGTGGGTGGACACTGGTGCTACTCGCCATATCTGTGCCGACAAAAAGATGTTCACATCTTATTTAACAGTGGACAATGGTGAATAACTTTTTATGGGTAACTCCTCAACTTCCAAAGTTGAAGGACAAGGGAAGATTGTTCTAAAGATGACATCTGGAAAGGAACTCACTCTCAACAATGTGCTGCATGTACCCGACATTCTCAAGAATCTTGTTTCCGGATCTTTGTTAAGTAAGAATGAGTTTAGGCTAGAGTTTGAGAGTGATAAATTTGTATTTACTAAGAATGGGATATATGTAGGAAAATGTTACATGTCTGATGGCCTTTTCAAGATGAATGTAATGACAGTTGTACCCTCAGTTATTAATAAAAATACATCTTCTTCTTACTTGCTTGAGTCTTCAAATTTATGGCATGGCTAAGACATGTTAATTATGGATCTTTATATAGATTAATTAATATGGAATGTTTACCTAAATTTGACATTGATTCAAATCATAAATGTGAAATTTGCATTGAGGCAAAATTATCTAAAACTCATTTTCATTCAATTGAAAGAAGTACGGAACCACTTGAATTAATTCATAGTGATATTTGTAATTTTAAATCAATTCAAACCAGAAGTGGGAAAAAATATTTTATCATTTTTATAGATGACTAAACTAAATATAGTTATGTTTATTTAATTCGAACCAAGGATGAAGCTTTGGAAACTTTCATTCAATATAAGAATGAAGTTGAAAATCAACTTGGAAAGAAAATTAAGAAACTTAGAAGTGATAGAGGTGGTGAATATGAATCACATTTTGGTGAGTTTTGTAAAGAACATAGAATAATTCATCCAACCATCGCTGCTTACTCACCTCAGCAAAATGGAATTGCTGAAAGGAAAAATAGGACTTTAAAAGAAATGATGAATGCCATGTTAATAAGTTCTGGATTGCCTCAGAACTTGTGGGGGGAAGCAATACTTTCTGCAAATTATATTTTAAATAAAGTACCCCGAAAGAAAGTGAATCAAACACCTTATGAATTGTGGCATGGGAGAGTATCATCCTACAAATACTTAAAAATGTGGGGGTGTTTGGCTAAAATGGTTATTCCTAGTCCTAAAAAGGCTAAGATAGGTCCTAAAACCATTGATTGCATTTTCATTGGTTATGCTAAGAATAGTAGTGCATATCGGTTTTTGATTCATAAATCAAAACATTACGAAATGCATGTAAATACTATTATTGAATTGAGGAATGCATATTTCTTTGAACATGTATTTCCAAATAAGACTGAACAAGATACTAGTACTAATAAAAGATCTTTTGATGCTATTACTAGTAATGACCAAGAACATGATCAAGAACAAGAGCAAGAGTTAGATCAAAATGAGGAAGAGGAACTTAGGCGTAGTAAACGTGCTAGAACCTCAAAATCTTTTGGTCCAGATTTTCTAACATATTTGTTAGAAAATGAGCCTTTAACTTTTAAAGAGGCTATGTCCAATCCTAAAACTCCTTTATAGAAAGAAGCTGTCAATAGTGAAGTTGAGTCCATATTGGAAAATCACACTTGGGAATTGGTGAATTTGCCACCAAGTTGTAAACCTCTTGGGTAGAAGTGAATTTTCAAAAGAAAAATGAAAACGGATGGATCAATTGACAAATACAAGGCAAGACTTGTGGTCAAAGGATTTAGACAAAAAGAAGGTCATGATTACTTTGACACATACTCATTAGTTACTAGAATAACATCTATTAGAATGCTAATTGCCATTGCATCCTTATACAATCTAGAAATTCATAAAATGGATATGAAAACCGCATTCTTAAATTGTGAGTTAGATGAAGAAATTTATATAGAACAACCAGAAGGTTTTTCTGTTCCAGGAAAAGAAAAAAAGTGTGTAAATTGGTTAAATCATTATATGGTTTAAAACAAGCGTCAAAGTAATGGCATGAGAAATTTGACAAGGCAATGATGTCAAATGGATTTAAAATCAATGAGTGTGACAAATGTGTTTATATTAAAAATACAGACAAAAGTTATGTCATTGTTTGCCTTTATGTAGATGATATGCTCATCATAGGTAGTAATAATGACATGATTAAAACTACCAAGAAAATGTTGAATAAACATTTTGACATGAAGGACATGGAATTCTTGGTATGAAAATTACCAAAACATCAAAAGGTTATGCTTCGTCACAATCTCATTACATTGGGAAAATACTTGACAAATTCAGCAAAGATGATGATCATCTTGCTAGAACACCTGTAGATGTTAATTTATATCTTTCTAAGAATGTACAGGAAAGTATTTCTCAATTAGAGTATGCCCAAATTATTGGAAGCTTAATGTACTTGATGAACTGCACTCACCTAGATATAGCTTATGCAATAAGTAAATTAAGTATATATACGAGTAATTTGGGAGTAGAACACTGGAAAGCAATTATAAGGGTTCTAAGATATCTCCGATTTACTCGTAACATTGGGCTTAATTATACTAGATATCCAGCAGTACTTGAAGGATACTATGATGCAAATTGAATATTGGATACTAGAGACTCAAAGTCCACCAGTGGGTATGTCTTTACTCTTGGTGGGGCGGCTGTATCTTGGAAATCTTCCAAACAAACTTGCATTGCTAGGTCTACTATGGAATCAGAATTCATAGCTTTAGACAAAGCTGGGTAAGAAGCAGAATGGCTTCGCTACTTCCTTGAAGATATTCCAATGTGGCCAAAACTGGTGCCTGCTATATGCATACATTGTGATAGCCAATCAGCAATTGGTAGAGCATAGAGTCATATGTATAACGGTAAGTCACGACACATTCGTCGTCGACATAACACCGTGAGATAACTACTATGTAATGGAATTATTTCCATTGAATATGTGAAGTCTAAAGACAACATAGCGGATCCACTAACAAAAGGGTTAGCAAGAGAGTTAGTTGAGAATTCATCGAGAGGAATGAGACTTAAACCTATTAAATAAGAGTTACCACAACGGCAACCCAACCTAGTTGACTGGAGATCCCAAGATCTAGGTTCAAAGGGACAACCGAGTTGTGTATGACTCAGAAGGATCACTGGGGAGTCTAACTCCTACCCATTTCTAGGATGAAATAGTGATATCTGCAGTGTTTTAGGTTAAGTAAAATTTTAATGATTCGTATATCTAGGTAAACCTAGTGGAGTATGGCAGGATACTCTTCATAAGAATCACCTATGTGAGTGTGAACTGAGCCGGTTCTATGAGATTTGTGAAGGGCTATAATTCTCTAGAGCACTCATGAAAGACCAGGTTGTTCAGGGCCAAAATGAACACAATAGTGAGAACTAAACTGTGTCTAGGGATATACTTTGTGAGTTCTATTGTCTTGGTTTACACAAACGGCTGAACAGTTCTAGACATCATGTTCACTGGTTAGCTAGTAAATCCGATATTGTCTCACAAGGGAAGGTTCAAAACCAAAAGCTACCTATCCATTGCAGAATATTTTCAATTTCTGTAATCTCTGAAATTAGATCATGTTGTTGCATTTTCTCTCCGTCAAATTCCATTCATGTGGGGGATTGTTGGAAAATTGGTTAATATAAGGCTTATTTTGGGCCATCTTTGAGCCCAAAATTGAGTGGGCTCCACACGTCTTTTGGAGTGGGTTTGAAAAGGTGACGTGTTCCTTGCTACATGGCAAGTCACACGGTGAAGACGGTTCGTCAAAACCATTTATGAGTGAATGGGAACTTGATGTCGTTTTCGGGTTCGTGGTATGGACATTTAAAGATTTAAATGTGGGTTTCCTAATAATAGGTTGTCCCACATTGAAACTTTAAGAGAGCTTGTTTGTGTATATAAGCTCCAGACTACAACACTTGGGTTGGGTCCCAAGAGGCACTCTAAGTTTGTAGAAGGGAGGAGTTATGGACAAAGTGAACCTTAGCCCAAACCACCACACACGCGCGCCGCCGCCGTCCATCCGTTCTGCCGGGCGTGGGTGTGGGTCGGGTCGGTTCTTGTATTAATTTTTTGAACAAAAATTCATTTGAATTTTTTCAAAAAAAATTATTGTGGGAATTTAATTCAAATTTGAATTCTAATTTTTTGTCCAACATTTGAACCTTCTTCAGTCCGAATTATTCAACAGATTAACTACATAAAACTACTTATAACTGCCAGCAGTTACTGTTCTGAAACTGCATTGTTTAAACAGGTTCACACAGTTTGGACAGGTCTTTATTTCCAACAGTTATCTGTTGCATTTTGGAACCGAATCTGTTTGTTTAAGTAGTGCACCTGTTCAGTTTGAATTCATACATTTTCAGGTTTGAATTCATACCTGTTTGGGCCTATAAATACATACCATATTCCAGCACTTTACCAATCCGAAAATCAGTCAGAAAAACATTGTTCTTGCTGTCCAGATTTTATTTGTTTACATTATTCTTCATATTAGTCATTTAGAGAAATATTCAGAGAGTTATAGAACACAAGGTTCTAGTTCGCCAAATAAATTTGTTTGGAGTGCTACTACAAATTTGTGAAGATCATTGTATCCTGGGAGATAGACTCCACTCAACCGTAAGCACCGTAGCGGGACAAATCTGTCTTAAGGATAGAGTGTCACACACTCGACTTGGTTTTTATTTTTTTTTTAATTCGGTTCGATAAATAAATTCGTTACGTTATTTATTTGTTTGTTTGTTTTTGTTTCAATTTATTTTATTTACACAAAAGATTGTTCCAATAAGAACCTCGCCGAGGGCTCCGGTGAATTCATAATGTCGGACGCAGTAAAGATGTGGGTGGATGAGAAGGTAAACTATGACTACAATTCTAATTCATGTGTGGGTGGTGAGTGCCTGCATTATACTCAAGTTGTTTGGAGCAACACTGCACGAATAGGGTTTGCTAGCGTTTAGTGCCAGAATGAGGGGTGGTTTGTCTCTTGCAACTATTATCCTCCAGTAAATTATGTGGGCGAATGGCCTTACTAGGGTGGTTTCACTACAAAAAAATTGATTTTTTGTGACGGTAAAATGCCGTCGCAAATACCCAAAACGCCGTCTCAAAAGGTTTTTTGCGACGGTAAGTGGCCTTTTGCGACGGCAAGTGGGGGGTCGCAATAGAGGGGGTTGCAAAAAGGCTTTAGCGACGGTATGACGCTGTCGCCTCTGGTATGGGACAGCAAAGAAGCCTTTTTGCGACGGAAAAATGCCGTCGCCGTTGACGTGTGAAAATCTGACTTTTTTTGAGACGACACTGTTTTGCCGTCGCTAAAAGGGGTATTTGCAACGGCACAAGTACCATCGCTAAAAGGTTATTTGAGACAGCACTTGGTGCCGTCGCTAAAGTACTATTGACGACGACAAATTACACCGTCGCTAAAAGTCCTCATTTTCAACCAAATGCCCTATCTTTTGCGACGGCAATTTGAGACGGTGAGTGGGCTGCCGTCTCAAAAAAAAAAAAAAAAAAAAAAAAAAAAATAAAAAAAAAATAAAAAAAAAAAAAAATCTGATAATAGAGGAAGAAGAAATCGTGTCTTTTCTGAAGCTCTATTCCAGGGAGAAGAAATCGTGTCTCTGTCCCCGTTTTCGTCTCGCTTAAGCGTCTTCCCTCTCTCGTTTGAATCGGGGCTGTTCCAGGGAGAAGAAATCGTGTCTGTGTCCCTGTCTTTGCCTCGACAAATCTAAATAACGTAAATAAAAAACAAAAGTTTTCGTCATGCTTCTTCCGTGGGTTACAAAAACAAAAGTTAGTCATAATCTCTACACGCCTGCATTCCACAAGAAGCAAACTGCTACTCTGGAAATATCTGAAAAAAAACAAAATAAAAATAATTAATGACAATATAATTGTGTTAATATTTTAATTACAGAAAAACATAAAAAATTAACCCTATTGGTGTAGGCAAACACACACAAATGCATGCATGCGTGCGCGACACACGTACAGGCACATACCTGCTGACTGTTGCGAAGAAAATCCAGCGTGCCTGCACCAGCAGCATTCGAACCCATGTTTGGCAGGCCCTGTTGTCAGAAAAATATAAGTCATCACCAAAAGAATTTACAACAAATTTTGACCTTCCCGAACCCCACAATGGTGGGAACCTTGTGCACTGGAGTGCCTTTTTTCCACCAAATAATTTACACCAAATTTGATTTAACAATGATTATGGACCAGCTACCTGGGGGAAAAGATCCAATGGATTTGCATTTGGTCCAGTCGAAGGAACAGGTGCTGGTTGTGCAGGCTGAGCCAGAGAACTTAAAACATGTGAACTGCTGCTGAAACCTAAGCAATTTCAAATTGGGTTGTGCAGCCAAAATCTAATAACAAAAATAAATAAATAAATCAATAAAGAGTACATACATCCTTAATTAACAAACTTTAAATAAATATACTTTGACATACTTGGCATACCTTTTTCATTAGTGGGTTAAACAATTCATCCCCAAGATATGCCAAGGTTGTACCACTATCCATTATCATCAGTTTTCCAGAATCAGTGTCAAATCCATCTGATGGAAGTTGTAGAACAGAATCACCCACCTCAATTGACTTCAAAATGACATTGTAATGTGCCCTAAGATAGCAATAGAACTGTACTTTAGAACCTATTTAAGGAACTAAGCATAAATGAATACTAAAATAATGCCACAGTATAAAATCCACTAAAAACAGATTTGAATTTATCATATTTTAACAGGAAAGTTGCAAAAAAAAAAAAAAAAACACTAAGTAATTGCTAATTACAGTCATAACATGCACAGTTAGCTTCTAATCACTTTATTAAAGACTGACAAAGTCATATTTTTCTTCAGTCATATGGTTGAACGCCCAAAGCATCAGAAAGCAAAACCAAGAAAATCAATCGGGTCAAGACTTGTATCCTAGAGCATTAAATTGTCACCCGTGCTCAATGCACCTCCCATTGTCAATTACCAAAATAAAATGAGACAAGAGGTAATACCTGAGGTGTATCTGCCCAATTACATAAGTTGTTGGAAATAAGAATATATAAAAACAATAGCATAGAGCAGATAATGAAGCTTGAGAAGTAAATAGATCAAATTTGTGTAGTGAATATGGCAAGTCATAGATAAAACTAACTGAACACCCGAAACATGGTTTAACCTTTGAAGCTTCAAAAACTTTTAAATATGAGGACAAATAAGTTACATTTTGTTCCAACTCCAAGTTTGTATACTAAATGAGACATAGGCATAGCGTACTCCAAAAGATTAATTCATGTCAACAAAAACATTTAAGCTTTTCCATAGCATTGGGTGCTGGATTTGTGGGCAATTTAAATCTTGACCTTCTTGTGAAAAAATCTTATTACTACCAACTTCAAATACTAACTATGTGTTTACATGTACATGATGTTTAATAACATATTTTTACAGTCTTACAAGAATTTGTAACAAAATCTTGCCTAATATTATGATCACAACTTGAATCTTAGAGACCAATTCTCAATATAGACTTTCTTGGTTGCCATTGTTGTTTTTCAAACTTAACTGATACTTGTATATATGAAACGCAAAATTAGAAGTTTATTTCCAGCATATGAACCATTATATGTTCTAACCCAATGCATTCCTTCTCCTCCTGGTTGTCACTGCAATAACTCTTTTTCTTTTCTTTTTTTTTTTTTTTTTGAGGAAAAATAAAAAGTCATTCATATTAAATTTGTCGACTACATGATTCATTTTCGCCTGTCAAAGACTATATGCTGAGCCCTCAAAATATATATTTCCAAACCCAAGGGAATTTGATAGGTGATATGCTTATTATGTGTTTGTCAACACATCCATGAGAAAATATGAATTATAATCAAATGCGTGAAGTGGTCATCAGATCAAATGTTTAATATAAATTTGAAGACTTTCCAAATTTCAGGGCAGAATGGCCCTTCAACCATAGTCAACCATAGTCAAGATTCCCCCTTCTAAAGATTCCACAATTTTCTCTTAATTTCCGTCTGTTTTCTCAGCAACCAAACGGAAGCTGTCATGCGCCTTTAATAGCTATAGCTCAAATTACAATTGACACACACAATACATACATACATACATACATACATACAATCAATCAATCAAAATAATAATAAAATCCACAATCCATGGAAGAGGAAGCTCTTACCAGGACTTCATCAAAACAAAAGCGATGCAAATAGGGGTCTTTTCAAACTCGAACTCAACAAATTTCACAGGCACCAAAAACCCATATGTATCGATCACTTTTGCAGAGCATTGAATTGTTTTCAAACTCAATACAGCTGATCAAGAATGAAAAAAAAAGGGTAATCAAGAAAACCCAACAAAAAACAGGAAATGAAAAAAGAGACCCAGAAGAGAGAGATCAAAATTGAATAAAAAGAAAAAAGAAAGCTGGAAAAGGGTTGATTGTTTAGTAGAGTAACGAGGAAAGTGGTGGTGCATCGATGGTGGGTTTGTCAACTTTCTTCGGAGTTTGTTTTCAGTTTTTTATATTTTGGAAGTTCTTTTGATGCCAATATTTGTGTTGTGCCCACCACGTACTTGTATACATTTTAGTCCACTTGAAATTACTATATCACCCCTTAGTCAATTTGGAAAACGATTTCTTGTAGGTTGGAGAAGTTATTTGGTGATCTGAACACCGCCACGTGATATTTCAGGTGTAATATGATTGGTGGAGGTGGAGGTGGAGGTTGAGGTGGTGGAAGGGATTGATGGGTCAAAGTTCATATAGATATCACTGATCAAACTAACCTGTTAACAACCATTTCATTTAAAAGCTTAAATTATAAGATGTAAGTAACTATTTAAATCCTGATGAAAAATATATATGTATATTTATTTGTTTTTATATGATTATTACGTCAACAAGGCCCCTTCATCCGTGCGCAAACTCTCCTTCATGAGTGGACCAAACATGTACAAGTATTGTATTTATTATGTAGGCAGCGGGATTCAAATATAGCCTTCCTACTCTAATACCACACTCACTCTGACCTCATTTAGAAACTAAAGTTGTTAAAGAAGGTGTATCTTAACTATTTAAATCCTTAGCATAACTTATGTACCAAAAAAACCTTCAATATCGGGTAGCAAAACAAGCTACATAAAGCTAACTAGAAAACTGACCATGAGTGAGATAATACAACCTTAAACTGTTTTCTGTGTAAAACAAATACAATAATAATTTATGGCATGACAACAATATGACCCAATGCCCACCATAAATAATTGGGACAACCAAATTCAAATAACGAGAAAGATCAACTTCACAACTTGGAAACATTCATTTTGGTTAAAAAAATCACAGTAAAATAAAACCTATTTTAAGCAAATAATCCAAATTTTGTTCACACAATAAAGATCGTGAGCAAGAGTGGTCACACTTTTGTGTTTTAGTTGGTTCATGAGATTGTGATCATTCCAAAGCCAAAAGTAATGAGCACTTGAGATGAAAAAAATAATACAAGGTTCTACATAATCAAGTTGGTATTCTTGTGGAAGAGCTCAACCTCCACATAATCAAGTTGATTATAATAGGTCCTACACTAAAAATAAAGTAATCTACCACGTTATGATGTCATAATACAAGGTTCTCGAAAGAAGATGCAAGTTTTTATGCTCTATTACAACTTTGTAACCCCCGAAGTGCAATTCTTGTTGCACAATTGATTAGTAGTGAACCCATACATGGCATGCATTTTAAATACAAATAGGAGGAGAAGTAAAAGGGAGAAGCAAATGCAGTGATAAATAACATTTCTCTTTGTTTGTATAAGCAACAACATCAACACAAATAACATGAAAATTATTTTGTTCTTACCTTAGTTGCAGGCATAGTTGATGCGGTGGAACCTTCACTAGATGAGCCCTTATTCTGACATTGTTCAAGCACAAAATGAAAAATCAGTACCAAGCAAATAGTAAGTATTGTAACAACTCAAAAAATATGAGTTCAACTAACACAGATTAATAAAACAAGACTAACAAGCAACACAAATAAACAAGGGCTAATGATGACTAGTGAGCATTCTGAACCAGGGGATCATATTTCTCTTTGAAAAAATTTGAATACCACGAATACCATAAAAAAGAATGCAATTCTACAGATCGAAATGATATAGATCAGTCATGGCATCACTATTATCTCAAAACACAAGGGATTTCTTTTCAAAATGAAAGCAAATTAAATAAAATGGCTACTTACCATTGGCAGGTCCAATTAATTTATAGCCCTAGAGCACAACCCATATTCACATGAGGATTGGTGATTGATGAGGTTAGATACATAGCTTTGTGAAATAATTCTAGCGCTAGCTACTTAAGAGAACTGAGTTGGTTAAGTTCAGGAAGAATAGATTAATAATTACCCAAAGAGCACATTTCTTCTCTTAAAAGCCTCTTTCTAGTACACACTTCCTCGAGCTTTATCATTTCACCGCGTATAGGTTCTAGTTGTTCACTCCATTAGCTACATGAACAACCACACATGGAATAATGTAGTATCTCCAAGAAACAAAAGTCAACTAGGCAATAGAAGCCTTGACAGATCATGAAGCTGACAGCCTTTTGCAATCTCCAAAACCAAAATTTCTAGAATTTCTTTTTAACAGGATCCTTTGGATCTCCTTCAATAGTAAAGACAGGTTGACCAAACCCAATCCCAAAATGGTATGGTCATCGCACTGATATTTAGAGGTGAAATCAGTTCCGTTTGGTCAGCTTTTGCATGTTTTTTGGATAGAACCGGTAGGGTCAGCTTTTTACACCGACCAAACCGAACAGACCGACACAAACAAGTGAACCGCGCAGGACCGGCAAGTACCTTTTTGGTCTGGTTTAGTGCGGTTTACCGGTTTTGGCATTTGTTCCCCAAAATATATATATATAAGTAATGAATAACGAATATAACTTTTATTATTTATATCAATCTATTAGAGAATACATCTTGGACAACTATTAAAAACATAAAAGAATTTAAAATAAAATAAAATACACCATAGCAGTTTCATAGAAACAATGGAGAACAGTGTAGATTAGTTACTATTTGGATTTATTAGTTTCTATCAAGAAAGTGAAATCTTTTGGTTGCAATTTTAATTTGTACAGAGTAGAAAAACAACTTAAGAAAACTCCATAGCAGTTCATAGGAACAATCCAAAATTAAACATACACAATATTGCACTTTAACCTTCAACGTGGAATGCAGAAAAGTAATCAGAACAAAAACATCTCTGTTATTGGCTATTGATAAGGCAAAAAATAATATCATAATCCCAATTTTCACCTCCAAAGAGCAGTAAAATAAAACATAAATAAAAAAGAGAGTCAAAATTTATTTATCATATTCTCAGATTAAGAAACCTTAGTCTATTAACTGATTTTGTAAAAAAAAAAAAAAATCACTTAGATCGAATTATCTTAGATCATATGAGATGTTATTCAAGGAGATCAACGCCGAAGAGGAGATCGACACTGAAGAGCTGAGACGCCGGAGAGCGATTCACGCCACTGTCTTCTTTTATGCCGGAGGTTGATTCATGCCGAAAGTGAGAGATTGAGGATCAATCGATTAAGGGAACACAAGGTCTTGAAATCAATTGTGATTGCGTAACAGATTGAGATCGAAATCAAGAGACAAAAGATGAAAGAAGATTGAGATAGAGAGATTGAAATGAGAGAGAGAGAGAGAGAGCATACTAACTGAGGTCGCGCGAGAGAGAGGGATCGTACTACGCCATTGCCGCACCACCGCTAGCCGTCGTCGCTCGTCGACAGAGAGATCATCGTCGGTGAACAATCGAAATCTCTGTGATTGGAAACTCGAAATCTCTGTGATCGTCAGTGAACATGAACTCGAAATCGTCTCTGAGATTGGGAACTTGAAGTCTCTGTGATTGTGAGGGAGAATGTGTTAGGGATTTGGGGATGAAATTTTTGGGGTTTTGATCGACCGCCAATTTGGGTTCATTACCTTTTGCGATGGTATAGATAAACGATCGCAACTGATAAAATCCAACTATTAAAATGATGCCGTTTTAATAAGGTTTCTTTTGCGACAGTCAATTGCCGTCACAAATGCCCACTATTTGTGACAGTAATTTCCACCCGTCTCAAAAGAACTTTTTTTTTGCGATAGCACACAATGCGTCGCAAATACTTCCGTGTTTAAGGCATTTTCTCTTGTCTGCTAATTAGCGACGGGGCGATTATCGTCGCAGATACATTTATTTGAGACGGCTTTGAATGTTGTCGTAAAAGCCGATTTTTTGCGACAGTATACACGCCGTCGCAAAAAATTCCGTGTTTTAAAGTCACTGTTCTTGTAGTGTTTTTGATTATGTTCAAAGGTCAATTACTAGAGATCTTATATATATGTATATGTGTGTGTGTGTTTCATGGTTATGTAGTAACTAATGAATATGGAGAGGAAATATATAACTGGTAATCCCCAAAATTATGGAAATAAATATGTTATTGCATGGCTTTACATGCCTATATTACAAAGAATAAGAGTTGTTTGTCTGTTGTAGTTAGTATGTTTGGTGTAATTTTTAAAGTATGTTTGTATGTTTTTTGGGAGTCCTCATAGTTTTTTGTTTAATTTTTTGTTTACAATTTATGACGAAAAAATAATTAAAATAAATTGAGTAAAATTGATTATACGGAGAAGATGTGGTTTTAGATTATGGTTTTCCTTTTTTTTTTTTTTTTTTTTCTAACTTAGAATAAGTTGTAGGACAATGACCCAATATTATTGGCAAGAGTGCAAATTAAAGTTGCAAATTAGAGACCCCATTTTAATACATAAAGTTATAGCATATCATACAAATTCAACATCAATGTTTATAACTGCCACATCATTATATTTTTAAACCTCCATTAATCAATTTAATTTTTTAAAAAAAATATTCATATAAAATGGAGATTTTGATTTTATCTATAAAATGGAGAGTATTAAAGTCAAGCTCAAAAAAAAAAAAAAAAAAAAAAAAAACAAAAAAAAAAAAAAAAATACAACATTTCCTAATTGTACTACTTATATTTTTGTCTTCAATCTATAGCAACAAAGTAGTGTTATTTTATTATCATCATTATTATTACTTTAAATCTCTCTTCTTCTTTTTTTTCTTTTTCTTCTCTCGAGTGGCATTAAATAAGATTATTTCTCTACAGTATCATTTAGTTACAGAAATATGTTGTGATATATATATATATATATATATATGTATATACTAGCGTATGCCCGTATCTAAAGACACGATATAACTAATGTTAGGATTAGAATATAATTATAATCCCAACGCTATTTAAATTTATTTTTTTAATTTGGTGAAATCAAAAATTTATTACAAAATTTTGGAGTTCTCGTAAAACTCTCCACGGAAACTTGCTTTTGCTTATATAATATATAGCTAGATAGATAGATGTGCCTGGCATGCATACAATTTTCATGGGCATACATACAATATTGCTTTTGCTTATATAATTATATGAAAATTGTATGTATGTCTGTAATGTTCTAGTGTGTTATGGGCATACATACATTGCATGAAAATATGTGTAAAATATATTGAATAGAAAGAAAAAAATAAAAATAAATAAACAAATAGAGAGAAAAATAAAAACAAAAGAAAATAAAAAAATAAAAAGAAAAGAGGGTGAAAGGTGGGATCATGGGATTATGGAATTATGTGTGAGAAAATGAAAAAGTAAGAGAGAAGAAAATGTATATGTAGGACATTTAAAAAAAAAATATATCTCAGCCATTGTTTTATAATTTGAACAGATCTGAGCCATCCAAATGTCCTAGTAAAACAAAAATATGTTGAAGATTCAAAAACCGTTCTGCTTTATTAAAATATGTTGAAGATTCATATGAGGTCTAAATTTATGAAGCCTATCAGGTATTCAATATAATTAAAAATAATAATTAATTGTTCAAATTAATTTAATTTGTGGACTATAAAATTTATTAATTTAATCTCCACTATACAGTAAAATCTGGCTCCTAATTCTGGAATCGTGGACTTTTCCATATAATATGAATAAAAATAGTTGAGCAAAAAAGAGAAAATTAAAAAAATAAACAAGTAGAGAGAAAAATAATAATGGGAGAAAATAAAAAAAATAAAAAGAAAAGAGAGAGAAAGGTGGGATCATGAGATTATGGAAGGAATGGTGAGAAAAAGAAAAAGTAAGAGAGAGAATTGGAAAAATAAAAAATGAGTATATAGGACATTTTTTGAAAAATATATCTTAACCGTTGTTTTATAATTTGAACAGATTTTTGAGCCATCAAAATGTCTTAGTAGAACAAAAATATGTTGAAGATTAAAAAATCGCCATATTTTATTATATAAATATATATATTTTATCAAACTTTCGGTGAAAAATAAAACGTATATATTTTATCATTTTAAATTTATTATTTTGTTAAAACCCCCATATCCTTGGATCCAGGACTGTTCTGCCATATTAATGGAGATATACAAGACTAAGAGCATCTCCAATGGGAGCTGCTATTTCACTTGCCAAAGTTAAAAAATGACAAGAATGGCAAAAACAGGTCTCCAATGGTCTGCTATTTCACTTGCCAAAGATGGCAGATGCCATATGTGTTGTCAAATATGGCAAGTGAAATAGCAGCTCCCAAGCTTGCCAAATCAGCAAAAATGAACAGCAATTTGGCACCAAATTTAGTTGAATACAACAGAATTTAAACAGAAGGGAGCCCATTTTTCAAAATCAAATTCAATTTTGAGATGAAAATAAATTTCAGAATGAAATTGAGACAAACCCAAATTCAGTTTCTCAAATTTTATTTTTTTTAATTCATTTATCACCAAATCTCAGTCAGATATGAAGAAAATCAGATATGAACATCAAGATATGAATGAAATTGACACATATATGAAGAAATTGAGACAAATATGAATGAAATTGAGACAAATATGATATGAAAATCAGATGAACAAAAATTAATCACAAAGAATAATTAAGAAAATTTGAAGAAAAAAAAATACCATGGAGGGGTTTCGATCACCGATCATGATCACCGATCCACATCAACAACCACGATCACCGATCCACATCAACAACCACGATCACCGATCCACATCAACAACCACGATCACCGATCCACATCAACAACCACGATCACCGATCCACATCAACAACCACGATCACCGATCCACATCAACAACCACGATCACCGATCCACATCAACAACCACGATCACAGGAGCTTGACAGAAACACCAAATAACTGAGCACCAAAACAATGTATAAATTATTTTGCTAATTCATTTTTTAAAAAAAAATAAGATTAATTAAAATTTTAAATATATGAATAAAAAAAAGCAATATACTTAAGATTTTCAATAGAATTTTTTCTCGAAATATTTAAAAACACACTTATGACCGCATCATTATAAGTCGAATTATGAATTAAAAAAATCATTATAATATATTGAGGCAATTTAATATTTTGTTTTGTGGTATACATCAAATTTATAAGTTAATTTTATGTTTATAACTTTTCAAATTATTAGTTTAAATTTTTTTAAAAATATATATAAATCTATTTAGTGCAATTTTGATAAATTGTATAATAAAAAAGTAAACCTAATTAAATGAGGTTACATGAGTTATGATATACCTCTTCTTGTTATGAAAATATACAAATTTAAAAGTTATAATTAAGACAAATATACATTTTATTATTAAATGTGAATGATATAGCATCCCTGGTTTTGGCCCGACTTTTATCGTATTTGGATCGGGTCTCTGCGGTTGGATATTGTTATTTATGCCTTTTTCCTCTTTTTACTCTTTGAATTTGAGTTTTGAAATGTCTCGGGGTATTCGGAACAGGTTGGTTGCTGTTTGGTCTAGTTTGTTAAGCCCAGAATTTTAGTCTTCTGCTGACGGGTCTTCTTGCGAGCGGGGTCGAGCGGGTTTGCAACCATTAAACTTTGCATGTCTGCAAAAATACTGGAGAAGTGTATTTACGCTCAGCGGCGTTTCTTTACGCTCGAGCGGTTGGTCTGAAGTCTGTAAAAATACTAGAATATGTATTCTACGCTCAAGCCGCTTTCTTGCGCTCGAGCGTTCCTTGTATTTGCCTTGGAGCTCGAGGTCCTTTCTTGCGCTCGGAGCAAGACAATTTTATGTGTTTAACACTGACGCGTCAAACTCTCCCTTGAGCAAACTGTGCGTATATCAGATCGCGAAAGTACATTTTATATCACTTTTTAGCCCTCTCTCTCTAAAACTTTCCAAAAACCTAAATCCACACTCTCTCTCCCTAAAATAACTCTCTCTCTTCATTTTGGCCTAGATCCTTTGATCCTTTTCACCCTGTGGCCTTTGAGAAAAGGTTGGAATATCTCAAGATCTGCATTTTGATCAGAGTAAAGTCAAGTTTGGACATCTATGAGGTTTCTCCATTCCTCTTTGAACTTCTAACACTTGAGGTAGGGATATTCTACACCTTGATATGGTTTTTAACCTAGGTATTTGTCATCTTGTATAAATGGTGAATTTGGGAGGATTTGGGTGAAGTTAGGGTTTGGGTTCAAAGTTTGAAAGAGGAATTTTCTATATTGATTTTCATAAATATATATGGGTATTGAATATGAGGTTACTTGGGTTAAATGGTGAAATTTGACCTTGGGGTTAATATTTGGATAAATGGGGGTTTGCCTAATATGTGTTAAATAATTATTTATAGGAATAATGAAATTGATTTGGAAATGTGAAATTGGGAAGATGTGTGAACTAATGGTGTAGTTAGATTTGTAAATCACTCACCTATGGAATTTGATAAGTTATCTGTTTAAAAGAATATGTACTGTTTAGAAATATCTGTTCTAGGCTATCGGTGGAGATAGTTATGATTGTTGTAGATTGCATGAGGATTGAGTGAATTGGAACTAATCAGTAATTATGTCATTGAAATGACTGTATCTAGAATACATTGAATATGTGTGACTGAATGTTATTGAATATGACGATAATTTTAAATACATTGTATATGTATATTGTTTGGGAGAAGAAAGGGATGTACTCTATTGTTTGGGAGGAGATAGGGATGGACTCTATTGAGAAT